TACCGAAACGAATAACTGGCACAGACAAAATGAGAGAGAATTTAAATTTCGTATGAAAAAATGAAAAAAAAAAAAATTTAGTTATTGGACGTATAAGATCAGATAAGAATGTCGATTGATTCAGAAGAAAATTCCAAGTGGATATAAGAAAACTGTTAGTGAATAAAATATTTAATACATTTTGGGTTTAAAGCTATTTAAATACAGCGAAGTGAAACTTTTAAGGGCTTAATATATTTATTTTTATCGTACAATATATAAAACAAATCAGTAGGAACATAAGTACTTGAGTAAACAATGTATGACAGCGATTCACAAAATTTAAGGCACGTGGTTCTGAGTGTTAACAGAGTTCTCACTGTGTAGCTTCTATTTTGAGCTCACTCACATAATCGCATTTCTTCTCATATCAACTTAAGACTTTGTCAGAACCATAATACATCCTACTGACCCTAAACACACATAACAAATATATTTTTTTCTGTGAAGAGCAACTTCATGTTTAAATATTGTAACAATATTATAACTAAGTTTTAAGCAGCTTGCACATTGCGCTCTTTTTCGTTCACACTCAAAGTCAAGCATGAACTTCTCAAACAGTTTATGAAAAAACTTATTGAAGAGAAGTATTTCTCTCATAGAAGTAATAAGTGAAACGTGGTGAACCCGATTCGACAATCGATGACGATGCAGCAGACGTTCTATTGCACGACCAGGAAGAAGTTCGGATATAAACGCGTAAGCAGTGTGTACACGAAGAAAAGCCACTCGCATGTTTTATAGAGTGCTCGAAAAAATTTTAAATTAATATGGCGCTTATGTCAGCTCGGGTAGCAATTTGGACCTACGATCACCTAATGTTACCAAAGAGTTATTTTTCACTTTAAAACTCTCTTTTGGATAACTCTTTCCTTATTAGAAATGTCTTCTACTGCTTTGAGTGTATTTTAATCTCAGTTCTGGGTCTGTATTTCCTTATAAGAAAGTTATACAAATTTCTCAAATGCCTCTCCTAGCCACAGTTATTTTTAACAAACATAGCAACCAACACTCCTTATAATATAATTTTACAAGGATATTTATCTGCTTAAAGGCCATTCTTTGAGTGTCTTTATATAACATACTTTCGCACCAAACTCATGCTTTAAATTATTTTTGAATTCATTGCTTAACACGCTGCATAACTTTCACTGTACTGCCGCACAGATTTTGTTGTTGCTGTGCGACTTCAATAAAGAATCTTATAAAATTTATTATATTTTCTTGTTGACACCTGCATGAATGTTTAAGCATCCAGATCCCGCCAAACCCCGTAGCATACCCTCTACGCTACGAAAAGCCGCTTCCTCGAAATGCCTACCATCAAGCCTTTAAAGCGGCTTTGTCTGCCTTTACTTTGCCTCTGTTTATCTTTGCCATAGTTTGGCGGCATCCTTTCAATTGCTTCGTCTTTCAACGGGAAAAGCGAACCTCTCACAATTTTTGCCCTACAAGTTTCCTTTCGTTTCTTACTTTCGATGTCTTTTGATCCTTTTGTTGCTTTCGTTTTCATTTTTCGCCTGTACTCTGGTCTTTGTGCTTTGCATTCATTATTTACATATTTATGGTATTTGCATAAGCGGCTTCCAAATACGCACAGACACACAACTACAAACATATATAACATGACACACATACACACTTGCATTCACGTACGCACGCACACGCAGGTACAATAACCTAAATTGGGTACGGAAAGAAGCCTCAATTATTTGCACAGCCGCGTAGAATGCGAGAAGGTCCTGCGTAAGCAACAATCAGCATCTTTATAACAATGTCAGCGCTGCCTTGCAAATTTTTCATTTTATTTTTATCAACATTTTCTATTTATCTTTATTTATTCCGCACGTTCCTAAGTTCCCGTTCTTTGTCGGCGCTCATAATCTCATGGAATTTGGTGAGGTGAGTGCCGGAAGAATAAAAATAATAATAACAACAAGGAAAAGCAACCTAATCTGGTATTATTAATTCATACAAATTTGTTGTGTTAGAATTTACGCCAAGCATGCGCTGAAATCTGGGATTATGCGAAAATTTTGATTAGATATCATGGCTTATGGAAGGAAGAGAATAAAAGCTTTGATGAGATTTGACGTGTATAATTTTATTTAGTAAATAATTACATTCACGTATGTGTAGAAAAAACTATAATTTCAAGCAGACAATTGTACTGTTCTTCAACGATTAAAAACTTATATTAAATACAATAAGGTGGTTACGTGCTGAGAGAGCACACATTTTCCTCATTTTGGCTGTCTTTAGGTTTCCTCATAATTATAATAAATTAATAATTAAAATAATAAAACATGACATACAATTCGTTCTAAGAAAACAAAATTCATGTTTAAATATTGTATACATTTTTATAGCATAGTTTTAGGAAACTATCATATGCCGCTGTATTTCGTACACACTCAAGGTCAAGCTTAAACTTCGCAAATGGTTTGAGAAAATTTCTATTGAAAAATTAAGTTCTCATATACTTCTTTTCTCGGCATAGACATAGCTTAGTCAGATAATACACAGAGCAGACAGAGCATAGATAAAGCCATATATATGTATACATGGAGACAGACATAAAGTGAACGTTGTACTGTGCATACCGCTCTCGCCAAATTCCTTCGCGGCTACCTCTCTCAATAGAAGAACTCTTAAAAGCCGCCACGGGTAACACCGACTCCACAGCACTTAACCCGTCCAAGCTCAGGAGATCGTTGATTCCGACGTCGATCCTGTGTTTTTAGATATTCGTCGGCGTAAGAAACGTAAACGCCGCCGCTCCACATCCGCAGAAACCTCCAATAAGGACAACTTCCTCTCGCCATTATGATCGGATGAAAGCAAGCACCTCAATTGACGCAGGCATAAGATTATCAAGGTTTTTACCGCCCATATAATCCTCCTCCGACATCTCCCTCTTCAGCATCTTCCCCGCCAAAATCTTAACAGGTGATTTCAATTCTAAATAAAAGCATTGCAACCGCTCTACGAGTAACTTTAACGGGTTGATCCTCTGGAGCATGCTTGTCCAAAAAGACTTTAACATCGAGTTCACTGAATCAACTTATCAAACCTCAAATCCCAGGTTCAAAGCAAGCACCTTGGACCTCACCTACGCACGAAAAACGTGAACCTCAACAGAAACCTCTGAACTCTCCCGGATCTCAGTTAATACCACTCCTCGGTCTAGGTAGACTCTCAAATCGCCCCCAAAATCGACTTGCTTCATCTGCGGCTCTTGCTGGAAACCTCTGGCTTCACATGTACCCCAAGCAACTCCATAGCTCACATTAATATAGCGGTCGCAGGTCTGACTGAGGACATCCTGAGGAAAGGTCGGTTAGTTCAGCCACCTCCTCCAGACAAAGCTACCACCAGCCCAAACAACCTCTTCCACCGTATTCGTGCACTCATCGCTATAAAAAAAAAGATTCGCTTACGCACAGACTTCCCCGTCTACGCCTAGCCTTAAAATTCATGCAAAAGGAATTAATATTTTTTTTCTTTAAAAAGCTCTGAAGACTTCAACTCCTTCATCGCTGAGGCCGAACAGCGTCCTAAAAGTTGCTGGAAGCTTATCAGAGCCTTAGGAAATTGCAAACTCCACCCCCCGCCTTAATTAAGGACGCGTATCTTATCCAGATGACAAGGATAGAGCCAATATCTTCGCTTAGTCTCTTAAAAACCAATGCACTCTGTTCCTGAGCCTGGAAAAAATCTCTTCTTTTCATTAGAAAGTTTCGGAGACGGTCTGGGACACAACCTTCCAGACAGGCGAGTTTCGTCCTTTATCAACCAAGGAAGTCTCCGATGCCATCAACTGTCTCAAAAACCGAAAAGTCCAAAGCCATGACGGCATTGATAACGGTGTGTTAAAAATTTTCCCCTGTAAACATCTTGTCGGTGTATGAAACACCATAAACGCTCTCAATAAATTTATCCCTCCGTCTGCGGCTGGTACTGGTTGTGGAGATTCGATATCAACACAACCAAATTAGAAGGTCGTCAAAAATCTTGGTAAATAGTTTTCCAATGAAATGGAACCATTCCCAAAAATACATCGGTGTTGTCTGCGATAGGCGACTAACCTGGACAAAGTTAATCTCAGCAGTTCGAGGCAAAGCCAACGGCGCCTTCAGCTCATTGAAATCATTTTTTTTTACCAACAAAAGAGTTTCCCCAAGCACCAAAAACACGAGCATTCAATGCTATCATTAAAAGCATCTACTCAAGCGCGATGCCCATTTGGGGTTTTGCCTCAGCATATTTAATTTATATCTATTAGTTCACTTTAAATAATGGAATGTGCTATAAATAAAGGTCTTAGTTATAATTCGAAAGAAAGTTAGTATTCATGTAGAGAAAACTTTTTTTTTTCTACTCTCATATGTCAATTAAGTACCATAACATTACTTGACAATTCTGTTAGAAGAAGAAGAAGAATTTCAGACAGAAAAGACATTCTAAAATAAAACGAGTCTAAAAGTCTATTCTCCACTTCCCCCACATTATTCGATACACTTTTGCCTGAAGTCTGTCTCAGCGAGTGTCAATAAACAAGAGGTGTGACCTTAAGCAAAAATAATATTTTGTAGCTTTCTATTTTTATTCACATCTTCTATGAGCAAATTCATTCGATTATCTTTGTTTACACTGCCGATGGCATCAGTCAATGTGCTTAGAAGCCAACATATGGACGTATTTGTGAAATTTATCTAGCGATTTTTCGATAATATAGGCAAAATTATTTACCGTAGTGTATTAGCCGAAAGGCAGTTAAGCGTAGATAAGTGTATGACATATAAACATAATGGAGATGTGATATAAATTTGCTGGCATATGACTTTTGTGATGGCAATTTAAAAAAAAATGTATGTGTATGGTTTTACTAGCGCATGGCTCATGGTTATTGCGCAGAATTTCGATATTATTTATAGAAAGCAATGAAAAAGGTCACTCACCTGTGTTTCCTTAACGCTCTGCGCTTCCTTCGCAATTTTTTATATGTGAAAGTGGTGCTCGGCGAAATTGTGTAATCTTCATCGAATTCCATTTCGATTTTGATCAGGTTTTGTAAATTTAACTGGCAGTCCTGGAAGTACAAAAACAAACAAGAATATTGGAAAAGATTTTGAAAAAGGTCAAAAATTTGCTAAAAACCAATTTTTCGGCTTACAAGTCGATAAATAAATTACGCGGAATTTTTGGAAGAAACCAAAAAGTTTAAAAGAAAATAGTTACTTTATCGTTTTTTAATAAACAAAATCTTAAATAGATTCGAAAAAGATTTCATAATCTTTGAACTGGATATAGATACAACAATTAAAAAACCTTCTCACTACATACGAAGAGAGGATGAAGGCCCCCTTTTGGTGGAACAAGGAGCTCACTTAGGCGCAGTGAACAACTGGTCAATTTCAGCACTGATGAGTCTCAGTGCAGGAAATATACTTGTAAAGATATACTCAAGTTGTATAAATTGACAATTTTATAAATAACTTAAAGAGAAATGGTGCTTCCGTTGTAAGTCATAAAAAGAAAAATAATGCCTATATGAAGGCTAGATTAAAGTGCTCTGATGTGGTGGACCCGTTCGAACGAAATCTCATAAAGCAAACCAATGGAGGGGGTACAGTGAATACTCCACAAGAACCTTTGAGCACAGCTCAATAAGCCGGGGGGTTGGTGGAATGCTCACGCTATATTTGAGGGAGGGGATTTCCAATCACATTAAAAGAGGATGCATGACGCAGGAGCATCCAACTCGCCAGTGGAATATGTATACAGACGGATCAAACGGACCAGCAATGGTAAATGGAGTAGGAGCCGGAATCTGTTACTAGCAGCTGGATCTCAGGCGACCCATGTTGTTCTGTGTGTGGTGGGACAGCCAGCCTGTATAACCTAACCGAACTAAAGCAAATTCATAGTGCTTCGCTAGCAATGTTCTCCGGATATGGTCGACTCTCGATCTTCTTATTGTTGAGAGAACCTCATCATAGTTCTTTACAAGTATAGGCTTTTGGTTCAATAATAAGCGGCATCCTACAATGTCCGAAATACAAGTGTCGGATCAAATGCAGATAATGAGCATTGTTCTAAGTCTTTGTGCCAGGAGTTATATATCAGTCACACCACGAAAAAAGTCATCTGAAAATCAACATCCATTCCCAAAGGGTGAGTCTTAGTAGCATCTAATAAAATAAAAAATTCTGCTCTGATATAAGAAAATAATCGATTTGTTTCCATCTCTTAATGTAAGCGAACAATACCGTGGATTATCTTGACCCCATTCCTTTAAACTTACATAATGAGTGATATCAATTTGTGCTTTTAATTAAACTCAATTGCAGTAAATGTGCTTTAAAGCTCCCAACACACAATGATATCTACTTCAAGGTAATGCCAGTTCTCAATATTTTCGTAATTCTAAAATCGGATTTAAAAATGCTATTATCTGTTTTTACAACTACATGTACTTGTGTGCATTAGGGGTGCACTTAATATTGTAATTCATTTTGTTTTTCACACACAATTTATGTTCATTTAAAAACATTTATTATGGTATCGAGTATTGAATCCGGAAATGCTAATTTTTGAAAAATAGCAATATGTTGAAATGTAGTTGTATACGTAAAGTATGTTCTTAATATGTTATTTTTAAACAAAAATTTTTTTAATAATTTTTTTTTTTGCAAAATATTGACTATAGTAGAGAGTATTGCCACAAAAACTTCCAATTTTGAAAAATATCGAATTTTTTAAATGCGATGTATACATTAGGGTTGTTCTTGATAACTTTTTTTATCTACCAACGTTGTCTATGACATCCATGTCTAAGAAAAATCTGTTCATAACAATTATTGTCTTTAGAAATGAAAGTTTTGAAAAATATACATATCTACTTCTTGACATGCATTTTTATACATTAGGGGTATTCTTATTTCATTTTAATTTAGCAACTTGATAACTTAAGTTCAATTATGATAGCGATTATCGTCCTTAAAATTACAATATTGAAAAATTGTCAACTTGTTGGCATTCACTTTTATACATTAGGGGTGTTTCAAATATTATATTTTTCATCCACTGATCATTATTCTTAAGAACTCCAATTTTGAAAAATTAAATTTTTTTTTTCACATAAAAAAAATATTTACTAACCACCTTAATATATGCGCATACATGTGTGTCACAAATAAGCTCTCCAAGTTTATAGCGCAGATTTGCAATCGATTTTGTGTCAGCATAAAAGCGCAAAAACAACAAATTATTGTAATGCTCGAGCCAAGTCAGCTAGTTCACCGCAAACCATAGATAGACCGCACAAAACCAGCTTTGATGATGATGCTGCTGTTGCTGCTGATTTTGCTGAATTATCGACAGACCAACAACAGCATGCACAGGTATAAACATACATGACGAGCGCATAAACTGATAAATTGATAGCCCTCTACAACGAGTGTATGACTTTGTGGCATGATGGCGTGTGGCAACGTGTGTGTGTGTGTACTTTCGCTTGAAGTTGTTGCATTAATTCAGCGAACTGTACATTATTGCATTTCTAATTTCACCGCACACGCACTCACATACACACGCACCCATACTTTCAACTCGGCCACATCCTTTGACATCAGCCTTTTGAAAATGCACAAATGAAAATGTGATTTCAGCCAAATGAGAACTAAGGGCTTACACACACATTAGTACATATATACATTCAATGTATACTATGAGTGCACAACAGCTTACATGAATGCATTTAAGTATATGCAATAGGAATGTGTGTATTCGGTTGTGTTGCCTGGTTACTGGCGCATATTCGACTTTAATTATATTATATATCCTTTTCATTCACTAGTATGCTTTTGAGGTTTCTAGGTTGCGCTCTGCGGTTTGGCGGGACAAAATCAATGAATTTATTAATTTCAGCTTTTTGGCAATGCATTTATAGCATTATGTCACAGGGCGTATACCTAACCTTGGTGAGTACTTTTGGAAATGCTGGATAAATAATCTTCAGCACGGCGTATGGGTGATAGCGAGTATAATTAGTATTTAAATTTAAAAATAATAAAATAATTAAATTTTTGTATCAAACACTTAAAAACAAAAGTTAAAGTGTGGGCAGCACACCAGTACACTGTGAAATTGTCGATAAAAAATATTTATGTCGAAACGAAAAAAATAAAACAATTATTTTAGAAATTTAAAAAATTATTAAAAAATTTAGTTTTCCAAGCATATATTTTAATAAAAAAATTAAACGGTTAGAAATTATAGTTTCGTGAAAAGCTTTAGTTTACTTCCAT